TGAGGCTTTCCAGAGGATTTTGGAGGTGGACCAGAAGCTCTGGGTGCAGGGGGAGGTGGTGGTCCTGGAGGAGGAGGAGGGGGGGGAGGCATTTTTCCCTTGATTCACTTTACTCCCCCTGTTACAAAGTTCTTTAGTATCTGTAAGAGAAAAGAATAAATAAGGCATTGGCTTCTTTCATTCAAACTGTGCAGCCATTATCCATCTCAGATCAAAATGCAAGCAAGGTAATTTGAACAAGGAAATAACAAACAAGTGTCATCTGAAAAAAACACTGTCGTGTTGACCTAAGTCCTCTGCTACAACTTCTTAACTCCCATGATCTGATGAGCGATTCTCTCTACAAACCACTATTCATTTCCTTGTAAATTAGTAATGATAATTTGATGTTATATCAGGATAAAACCTCCACCTGATCAGTTGGTCTATTCTTGTCACCTGTTTGCTGGATAATGTACTGTAATTGTGAGGAGAATTTACTCATTAATAAGTCCTTGGACGTTAAGAGTTATACAAGGTCTAAAAATCAGGCATCCTAATTATCTACCACTCTGAATCTGAGAAAATTAATATGATGGCGTAACATATAAGACACCATTCATTATAAGAAAGCTTTTTGACTAACAAGCAAGCAAGCAAGCAAGCTTCTCACATCTAAGTCCAAGTACGTAGCCATTTGATGAAACTTCCTCTATAAGCTCATTCAAAGCCATTATTTTGTTAACCCTTTAACACCCAAGATCTGATTTTAATTCTCCTCTCTAGCTTCTACCCATTCCCTTGTAAATTAGTTACGAGAATTTGGTGATAGATCAAGATAACAACTTCTGCCTCTGTAAGTTTGAGTATTCTCATTACCTGTTTGCTTGATAATGTATAAATATTATAGGGAGAAGATAAATGTTAATTATTTCTGAGTTAACAACAATAACCAGGAAACACCCAGTCCATTTCCCTTTTCAAACATAACTGTGTTCATTACCACCACTGCTTATAATTTCTATTCTGTTATGTAACCTTGAACCAAGTCTAGTATCTTAATCTTACAGGTATCTAATAAATTGTTAGCTGATCAGATATGCTAAATGCAATTTACATTACCTCATTATTCGTAATTGGTAATTAACTCTATTAAAAAAAAACCACCACTTGGAAAAAATATTTCAAGATACCTCCCTTCTGCAAGCTAAATCTGCTGGTTAATAAATGTGGGTAATTATTTTTTTGCAAACATTGTTTGCTTAAAAGGAAAAATACAACTAAAAGTTGACATTCTCGTTAATATTTCACTATTTTTGGCTCGATACCAATTAAAAGTTGAAGCACGAAGGGTTAGTAGATACAAAAAAAAAAATTATACTTCTTGGATCCTGAGGAAAGAAACACGCAACAGCCTGTTTTTTAAGCTCTTACAAACGCATTTAAATGACAAGTTATCAGCTTTGTCTCCATATCATACGCACTCTTACACGTAACTTAGGCGACATAAAGATATTTCGAGACTGATACTTGCATACATGTAGAAAGAATTCTTCATCATGAATCAAATCCTCTTTGTTTAACAAGATTTCCGGACATCAACGACGTAAAGAATTGACTTTTGCCATTGAGAATTGAAATCTGATGAAATGTCACGATGAAACTTAATAGAAAAATTGTGATGGGCATATTTTCGAATCAAATATTGCTCGACTAGCATTATCACTTCCGCTAGGAAGGTTTCGATCTCGCGCAAAACATTCTGTTTAGTGGTACTTAGACAATTGACACTCTCTCTGTTCGACGCATACGGATATAGGAAACAAAATGCAATGCTAGAAATGTACTCACATGAAATTAATGAAATAACACTTTACAATCGACGCTGAACAAACACTCCGAACGATAGCCAAAATTGAAATCAACTATTTCCTCAATAAGGAATGTCACAATTTATCGACAAAATAAAATGTTCAAGTCTAGGTGTGCGACCTAAAAAATACGATGTTATTGTGCATATAATTCTCAGATGATTAAATTGCTCGTAGAAGAATGACTTATCGGTAGCAAAAATCATACAACTATAAGTTGCAAGTCTGGGAATTCGCAGTCATCTGGTTGTATACAAAGATGAAAACTACTTACATTTAGCAATTTGATCGTGTTCTCATTGCGAGAAACGCTTATCAGAGTTCGTTATCGACGGAGCGAGCTTCACCGTGTCAGGATTAAGTACTAAACTAGAAATCTAATGACTTAACGTGAAAGCATTTATCTCCACAAATTTTTAGATCCTTGCAAAGAGATACCTTCGAAAACGTGCAAGTCTATGCATGGTTTCGCGCCTCCGAAAAATCACGTTACCGCGGAAGTCTTACCTTAAAAGTCAATGTATGTAGTCTAAAATGTCCATTCTTTCCCACAGTATTCTTGAATTGCTGCTAGGAAATCCAAGATCTCCGAAAGTTTCTAAAAATTTATAATCGGTTGCCGGTTTACCAAAATGGCCGTAGAAATAGTAAAGCCTTAGTCTCATGTCGTCACCACCCCTGTTTATGACGTATTTCCTCACATCCAGTCCTACGCGCGCAATAATCAGACTTCCACGTTTGATTTGCATTCAATTACAGGAGCAGTCTTGATTTTTATTACTAAAAAAGGACAATGAACAATTTCAGCTGTCCATACCTTCACGAAAATGTGTTAAAAATGGTTAAATGCTTTTGGTCACAACAGGAGTTTGTTTTCTTCTTCCGCTTTCGGTCTGAAATATGTTTAAACCACCCGGAAAATGTATGATAAACGAGAACGAAGTTAAAAACCGCAATTGGAAAAAAAAAAACAAATCTCTTCTGTCATTCGCTCCCACGCTCTGTTTGGATAAACAGAAACCCAAACCATAAATCTCTAATCAGTGATTTTCAGGGACTGATTCAAACAATAATTATTTACGTAGCTGAACAAAAAAAAATTCCGTAACAGAAATGTGACTTCGCTATAAAATTTAGCGAAAAACTTTTTGGTGTCAAGCTGTGAGCAGGAAGTAAGATCACTTTCTTGGGTACCCGTTCACTTTGCCGCACACGACGTGTCAACTCGCAGGCAGCCAACTCGCCGACCCTATTGATCAACTCGCGGAAACCTTTGGTCAATTCGCCGAAAGTCCACATTAATCAACTCGCTGATATACCGGTCACTGCACTGCGCCGACATACATAGTCAAACCTATTCAGTTTTAAGCTTAAAGATCTTAATCTGAGATTAATTTCCACTCAGAGTGAGGTAAATGACTTCTTGGAAAAGTCAGATAACTTCACTAAATGTAATGATGATGATGATATTTCAGAAAAAACACCATCTGAAAGATTTCTGCCCGCGATTTTCAAAAAAATGTTACACGCGTTCTATTTTACATATCAAGGCTAAGTTTAGGAACTAAGAAGTTTTCTCTTCTCCCAAAGATCTTAACAGTAGGTGTTTTTAATCATAGTTCGGCGTACAATTAGTGTTATTTGTTTTCGATAGTGAGTTACTGAAAGTAATGGCTTCTTTCAGTGAACAGCAATACGTGGAGACATTGATCAGTACTTAACTTCGGTGAATGCATGGCGGAAAGACGGAAACTGTTTTAGAACTTATCTCAAGTTTTTAACATCGATACCTCACTCCTTCACGGAAAGAAACTTGTCTATTCCATGTTATTATTGTATTTGTGACTTTCATTAAGGCTTTGCTGGAGCTAAGAAGGTGTGACTTCTTGTTCCTTTGTTTTTGAGAGTAACGGATTCAACGGTTTACCGTTTCATTTATACCGACATAATTTCAAATCAAGCAACACAAATTATTGTCGGCGAGTTGACATGTCGGCGATGGGACCGGCAACCTTCATTTAAACGGTATCCAGTTAAATCGCACCATGTTTAGATCGCTTCCAGTCAGATCGCTCCTACCTAAGGTTAGATCGCTCCACTCGAAAGTTAAATCGCTCCATCAAATAAGTTACTTCGGTACCAACATAAGTTACTTCGCTTCGTGTTGTAAAGTGAATTATTACTTACCAATGATCTTTAAAGTTTATGGGTGATGATGTGTCTTGGGACGATACGAGTACATCGTATTCACCGATATTAACTCTGTCCTTCAGATTAGCCACTGAGCTACCGAGGTATGATGTATAGCGATGATGGAATAAAAGATCTTGGAATAAGTTATAACGTTATAGTATGATTTTTAGAATTCAAATACCAATACTATCCAGTGTGGCCTTTTTTGCTGTTTGATGTAAGGAAATTGATACCCGCCATCTTTAATAAATAAGGTAGATTGCACTTCGTGAGTCCCTTTCTTGAGGCTTTATTTGTTCTTTCTGCGTAGCTAGGATTTATTTCAAGCACGCGCGAGCGATATTAGTCGATTGTTCGGTAAGATATGCACGTCATTTAATGAACTATCAGTTTAGATACCTTAGTTTTGCTACCTTTACCTTAGTTTTCTACATGGAGCGAAGTTAATTATGTTGAGAACGAAGTCACTTATTTGATGGATCTAACTTTCGAGTGGGGCGATCTAACTTTTGGTTGAAGCAATCTAACTGGTAGCGATCTAACCATGGTGCAATCTAACCGTAATTCATTTACTTTGTTTTAACACCTAGCAGAATGCAGCATGCAAGGCGCAGCTCTACGTTCGAGAGCCGCTCTGACTACTGATATGGACCTGTTTCTCCGTAGTCCTAGTGTCCATTTGTCCACCAAATTTGTGAAAAGCCAAATGGTTTGCTTCCTACCAGTTGAAGATTTTCAATCTAGTAAAGTTTAAAGGGTCACAGCTTTATCATTGTTTCTACTACCGTCAAACATCACCCTTTACAAAGAACCTATTAATATTATTATTGTTTTTATCATAATTATTATCTAAATTATTGAAAACATCATTATCATTTTATTTTTTATAATTATAATTATTACCATTATTATTAATATCATTATTATCATCATCCCTAGACTCACACAAAGACAAAGTACGACAAAAAACGATTTTATTGAGATGGAGCACCAGAAATGCAATCTACTTAGCAATGCAAGTGAAAAGAATTCATAATGCATGAACTAATTTACCCAAGCTATTGCATGGATCTACACAGCTAAAACTGAATTCTCTGCACAGAGACCTATGCATAAACCCAACTTTAATTCAGTCTTATTGTAATTTTTACAATGTGCATGCTATGCTAGCCTGCAAAATTTGAACCAGCCAATTTTTTTTTTCTGTTTTAGCTGGTGTTTTAGCTATGATCATCAAATCAGCTGTCTTTGCAAGCCAGCATTCTGTCTGATTTTCCAGAAAATGCACTTGATCCATAAACAGTATAGGGAGACCACAGTTCAAAGATCACACAGTCTTGAACATCCAGAGCATTATGAGCTACTGTTAAACATAAATGTTTCCAGATATGCAAGTTGTGAAATTAGGGAACCAAAGCACATTGAATAATATCTCATCCATTCATTTAAAATCCACCCATTCCACCCATTCCTCCCATTCCACCCATTCCGCCCATTCCTCCCATTCCACCCATGCCAGCCATGTCTGCCTTGTCATCCTTGGGCTGATCAACAATGACTGTTTCTGCTGTGGTTAAGAGGGATGCAACACCTGCAGCATCTGTCACAGCTGTTCTGACAACTTTTGTGGGGTCGATGATTCCTGTTTGGATCATGTCTACGTAGGTGTTGTTAAGGGCATCGTAACCTTGGTTACCTTCCATAGAGGCCACCTTAAAGAGGAAACGTAAAATAACCATGTTAGTGTGAAAAGAAAACTGCTTGTAGAACCAAAATGAAAAGAGAAACAGCTATCAAAGTACCCTAGCACCCTTTTTCTGAGTATCGAGTCAACGCGAAAACATTCTTGAAAACAAATCCCACCTTTTCCACCACAAGTGCTGCCTCTACACCAGCATTCTCTGCAATAGTCTGACATGGCTTACGCAGAGCCCGTCTGACAAGGTCTACTCCCTTGGCTTGGTCTTCACCTTCTGTCTTGATGTCATCAAGGCTGGGGATACATCTCAACAAGGCAACACCACCCCCAGGCACAAGACCTTCTTCCACAGCTGCTCTGGTGGCATTCAAAGCATCTGTTACCCGGTCCTTCTTTTCATTCACTTCTACTTCACTGGAACCACCAATCTACAAAAGGATGATTGTCATTGGCAAGTGTGCCATGAATGCTCTTATAAGCTTTGAAGGAGCTTGTCAATCTCCCAGAATGAGAGGATGAGGTTTATTGGAAAGGTAAGTTAACCAAATAAGGGCTTAAAAAGACCCCCTCCCATGCCAAAATGTGACTACTAGTTTCTCTTCTGTATTGTCACCTAGAATATCATTGGTATTTCAAAGAATATATTACAGGCTTTTAGTTACATAACACTTTGAGACTGAATTGCAAATATGGCCTTACTGACGTCTAATATCTAACAAGATTTAATTTGGAAGGAGTGGAGCTTTTAGCAAAAGGGAGCCTATTTGAAACTTGACACTCTGAATGGAGGGCAATTTAGAGCCTAAAAATGTATGCGAGAAAGCCATTGTGAAGAATTATACAATGTTATATAGAGCCTATGAGGCAAGTGATGAGAATAGGGTGAGTTAAATGCTAAGGGAAATCACTTTGGTAGAAAATCTTCAGAACAAGAATCAGCAATCAAATTACGCCTGTATCTTTGTACCTTCAAGATAGCAACACCATCAGAGAGCTTGGCCAGACGTTCATTTATTTTCTCTTTCTCATATTCTGAAGTTGTATTTTCAAGCTCCTCTCTGAGTTGAGCACACCTCTTCTCAATTTCCTCTGTGCTACCCTTTCCTTTTAAGAACAGCGTGTCATCCTTAGTGATTGACACTTCTCCAACCTCACCAAGATCTTGAATTTGGACATCTTCAAGTTTTGTTTCCAGAGCATCATCTCCAAATACCATACCACCCATGGCAGTGGCCATGTCTTGCAGCGTGTTCTTGCGATTGTCACCAAAACCTGGTGCCTTCACTGCAGCCACTTGGAGACCAACTTTGAGCCTAGAGAGTGGATTTGAAGTAGTTAATGTGATAACCTCCCAGTGTGCCATTGTACTAACAGTTCAAAATCATTTTAACCCTTCCTGTTAGCAACATATCCCTTTGGTTGATATAATCAGAATTCAATGTAAGTAAATGAGCATTTCTCTTTTTGTCTTAGTATTGTACTTTTTTTAAGTTTGAAGTCTGTGGGCTATAAGGGAGAGTAAAATCTTTGACTGAAATTGATGTAGTTGAAAGTTTAAGGCATAAAGAGTGGAAACACAAGTGACCAAATTGTGATTGTTATACGTTGCATTGGTTGGGAAAAGAGGGCAACTTCTCCAAGCCATCTGCAATCCATAGAGATGCTAAAACAAACAAAATGAACACAATCCACGAATATGGTTAACACCAATTCAAATTCTTAATGATGAAAGGCTGAAGGCCACTACCTGTTGAGGACAAGTGTAGTCAGAGCTTCACCATCAACATCCTCTGCTACAATAACAAGAGGTTTCCTGTGTGCATTAGCCAGCTCAAGCGCAGGAACAATCTGTTGAATGGAAGAGATCTTCTTCTGGCACAGGAGAACCAAACAATCCTGGAACTCAACCTTTTGTCCTACAAGTGGATACAGATAGAACAAAAAGTTAGATTTCATGAACAGATTGCAAGATCAGGTTGAAGTTATTCATTACCTTTTGTAGTGTTGATAAAATAGGGAGAAATGAATCCACGGTCAAACTTCATTCCTTCAATCAATTCCAACTCATCATACAGGGTCTTGCCATCCTTTAAGATAAAAAAAAAAATTAAATCACCTTACATCATGTTCCAATGTTTCTTGCTATATGATATAAGGTAAATAATCAATAGCAAACAAGTAAAATTAGCCAGTAACCTTCACAGTGATCACTCCATTCTTGCCAACTTTTTTCATAGCTGAGGAGATCAGTTCTCCGATGCCTTTGTCGCCATTAGCAGAAATTGTTGCAACCTGAGCAATTTCTTCTGGAGTAGTAACTGGTTTGGACATTTTCTTTAGGTTTTCAACAATAGCTTCAACTGACAGCATAACACCTGCAAACAGACAACACTGGTAGTTACCTATGATCCTACGAAAAACAATGCTAGAATAGCCTTTTAATTTTAAATTAACTTCATCTCCCAAATTGGATGACCAAAACAGAATTTCTCTTTACAGTATTGATGCAATATCAAGCAGACAAGTGATGAGAATGAAGAAATATATCAATTAGGGAAATACCAGCAGATCCAATACCAAATTCTTCAAAGTGAGATTGTTCGCTGACTAGAAATGCCTGCAAAGCTGATGCCCATTCCATTTGTTAACTTGTAAGCTGCTTAAAGCAAAGTATACTTACCTAAATGTGTTTAAAGGAAATTAAGTGCAATCCTTTTTTTCAGTGAAATTCTCCCCACAAAAACATTGCTTGAAGGCATGTAATTCAGGGAGAACAAAATCAAATTTATTCTTTAAACCCACCTTTCCTAACCTCCTGAGGATTTGCTCCCTTGGAAACAATCTCAAAGCCTTCTTTGGCAATGGACCTGGCCAGGACAGTTGCAGTTGTTGTTCCATCTCCAGCCTCTTCATTAGTGTTGTTGGCAACATCTTGCACAAGACGAGCACCAATGTTCTGATACCTGTCTTTCAGTTCAATGGCTTTGGCAACTGTTACACCATCCTTAGTGATCTTTGGGCCTCCAAAGCTTTGTTCAATTATAACATTTTTTCCCTGTAGGAAAAAAATTCAAATAAAATGTTAACTCAGAGGTCAAACGTAACCTCTCTTTACCAAGTAGCTCGGAAATAAAAAAACAAGAAAATTGCTTATGGTCTCAGGTTAAAGAAAGAGGAACTCTTGAAACTTATGAGAGCAAGATGTGGAAGAGTGAATTGTCTACTGATTTAATGGGTCTCCGAAGTCTTTTTAATCCAATGAGAACATCTTTCATTGTTCCTTTGCAAAGAAATTTGCAGAGCTTAAAATTTGTCTTTCTTCATCTTAAAATGAAATCTGCTCCAGAGAGAGAGAGACTTGTCTGCCATCTAACATGGAACCACAGTAACCCCACACCTTTGGACCCAAAGTGACTGCAACTGCATCAGCTAAGGTGTCAACTCCTTTAAGCATATTGGATCTTGCATCAGCCCCAAACTTGAGCTCCTTGGCGGACTGTTGTTGCTGTGAGGTGCTGAACCCAACAGCAAGCCGAGGGGCCAAGATTTTTGGAGTGAACAGCTGTCTGGCCGGACGGATCACACTTGATAGACGATACATTCTAAAAAAAAACAAAGAAAAAGAGATCTGAGTCTCTGGTTAACATGTGACTTCTGCTTATGATATTCATACAATGTCCAGCAAACAAGCAATAAGAATGCTCATCACCGATCTTACACTAAATTCTTGTAAAAAATTTACATTGAAATGTGTAGCAGCTAGAGGGGAGAATTAACAATTATATCTTAGGAGTTAAAGGTTGCACCCCCCAATGATATATTACCGAGACCTTCATGAAATATCGAATTATCTGCAGTGAAAAAAGAAATTACTCTGTTAGATCTTCTTTAAGTGATCTTCCAAAGATCTTGTCTAGGATCTTGGCTTCCTAATTTTTTTCAGAGAACTAACAAAACGATGAGTAGACCCACAAAAAATTTTGCAAGGTGCAACGAACTCAGCCAACCACCACTAAGACAGAACGGCTTGGTCATGAGTATTATGCAATCTACCGAAAAGGTTGCACCAAAAAATAATGAAAGATTGGTGTTAAACATAAAAGTTTTGACTGCACCGATGGTTATAATTTTTCAGTCGCTTACAAAACTTAAACCATTGGAGGAAATCCGACCTTCTATGTGGATTACGAACAAAATCTATACCGAGTGGTTACAAAGTTGTTCTTTTTAAATTTCTTCCAGAGAGTATGACAAAGCGAAAAAAAATTCACACCAAGATCGGGGTTAAGTAAGAACGAAACACAACCATTGTGGAAATTTTCTGCTTAAAAATCGGGGTTCTCTAGAGAAGAAATCGTGATTTCCGAAAAAAAATTTACCCTGAAGCACGTGTGCGGTACATATGTATTCCGAGTCTGACATATTGCGAGAAATTACTGTCATTTAAAATTCTCACTCCCTGTAAAGTAAGTTGTAACTGATCAGAATACATACCTGAAGTATACTATTCAGCGATCTAGAGTTCAAAACTTGAAAGGAGCACGAAATTGTGCAAACTTCGAAGACCAACGGTGGCTAAATGTGCCTCGCTATCCCACGTGCAGAAAAGGACGAAGACGAGAACCTGCAATCGGCATGCTCCGTGCAGGGGCAACTATTTTCCTCCAGGGGAGGGTAATTTATGTGCAATTTGCAAAGTTACAAATATTCCCAATACTGATATTTTTGACATATTTAATGTTTTCAGGCTTTAAATATATCTCTTAGAATCTTCAGGTAAATTACATGGTTTCTCTGAAAATACATTTCGGAAGCGTTAACTAATTTAAAAAGTGTAATCCTACCAGTCCCCTCCCTAAATGAAAAGTATGACACACCACTTGATGCAATTGACGACTGCGCAGTAAACGATCGATTTACACGTGTGGAGAATATTTTCCACGGTGCAGAGGCCTTGTGCTTTTTTTCCTGTGAAATGGTAAGTAATTCCTCATCTTTTGATTACAAATTTAAAATTTTGACGGATATGAAGTCTCACTTTGAGGATCTTCCAATTTTTTTCAAAATTTTATGGATCGATTTACGTGACTGAAGTCAATTTGTTACTAGAGTAGCTTGTGATGTAGACAGAAGTGGTTTATAACGTAATCGAATATTTAACCCAAGGCTTTCTTTCAGTTCATTCTTGTACATATTTAACATTATTTTTATACGTCGTATTTTTAAAGGAAAAAGTGTTGGCGTCAGTACTTTAATCTACAAATTTAAGAGATAACTTTATGCGTATAATGCACTGTATTCATCTGTGCAATAGTTTTACAGTATTGCATAAGAGATCTTTCCCATGTGTTTCTTTCTCTCCTCCAGGCTAATGTAAGAAAATTCAAGCCTCTCTTTGACAGGATTTTGGTTGAAAAATTCCTCCCAGAAGTGGTGAGAAGACAGTGGATCAAATATTTTGTTCATACTATTGGCAATTTCTGAATTCTTTTATCCCCACCTTCCAAATGAGGATAAGAACAAAACCTTCTTGTGAAAATGAGTTCAATTTACTTAAGCATAAAGTATAGTTTTCACATCAAAGGCTTTCCATGTATCCTCAAATGACATTCCTTGGTCTGTTGTGACATGTCTCTACGATGCATGGTATCACAGGTGACTAGTCCACACACATCAAAAAATGGCAGCAGTGAAGGGGGCTGGATGGGCCTTGGGAGTATAAGGAATGAAGGGTATAAATGATGGGATGAAAGCTCAAGAACTGTAAGGGCTGGTTATCGAAAGAAAGTTTAGCTGTTGTTGAACAAAACCACATCCCAAACTATCTTTGATTAAGCTGAATCTTTTATCTGAACACTTATTTTTGTGACTAGTGTCAAGAGGGCTGAAAGCTGACCATGGAAGGACATTTATTTAACTAGAGAGCATCTCTGAGGTCCACAGCTTGCATAAAAACCACATTTTGGATTAAACCTCTTGTAAATAACCAGCCTTAAGAGTTTGATAAGGAGGTTGGGAAAAGGGGTATGGTAAAATTTAAACAGTCATCCAAAACTATTTTCCCCCTCCAATCTATCATCAACCTTTGCCTCAGATTGAAATCCTCATACTAAGGTGAAGTTATGTGATCATTAGAGAACTTAAGAGATTAAAAATCGGTAAAAGTTTGAGGAAGTTTCCCTCCATGACTGAGAGCTTGTATGGAGTAGGCACAGATTCAGACCCACTCTTGCTATTTCTTGATTTAAGTACTGATAAACAGCTATTAGGCAAAGTCAGTTTTAACTCAAGGTATATGTTGTGATTCAATTTTATCCTTGGTTCAAATTTAATTTTCCTTTGTTTCAAACTCATTATCATACATTACAATACTCAAAAACAAAAGAAAAAAAAATTAATCAAGGATAAAATTGAACCACAACATACACATGCAGGCAGTATTCAAGATGGCAACTGATATTTGACTCTGTATTTTCTGTAGAAAACAAAAGGAGGTGTTCTCCTTCCTGAGAAAGGTCAAGGCAAAGTGCTAGAGGGTACTGTTGTGGCTGCTGGCCCTGGAAACTGGGATCACAAAGTAAAAGCTTTTTCCCTGCTTACAAAGTGAAATAAATCATCACAGCTAGTCAATTATTGTTTTTGAAATAGGGAGATAGTCATCATAGTCTGTAGCACCTAGCAAATGTATCTGCCCTCTCCTTAACCCTTTCACCTCCAAGATCTAATTAGTAATTCTCCTTACTACCTGCCATACAATTCTTATGATGTTAGTTCAGAGAATTTGGTATTGGATCAACTAATAATCTCATAATTGATATTCTTCTCTATTCTCATCACCTACCTGCTTGATATTGTATCAGTATTGTAAGGAGAAATTCTGTCTTGGTCACTTGTGGGAGTGAAAGGGTTAACCCTTACACCCCCAAAGAGTGCCAAGCATTAAATTTCTCCTTACAATATCACTCAAACTTTAAGGTCACAAGGACAAATTTAAGGAAATAGTCATCAGTTAGAGAAGCTCTTGATTGTTAGGCAAATTCTCATCGTCAGCACCCTAAGAAATGTCTACAGAACAGTACAGAGAAATAACCCTTAACCCCTAAGAGTGATTGGCAGCTTATTCCTCCTGGACATATCACCCTTGAATCAAACATTAATGTTACAAGAATAAAGAATTCAATTGTTCAACAAATTCACCTTGGCACCTTTTTAGTAAATGTATGGTGAACAGTATGGAGAATATTCTTACTGATGTTTGTGTGGAAAGGGTTAAACTAAAATACTTTGTTTTGTTTTTAGAACAACCAAAGGATAGAAGTTAATGTCAAGGTTGGAGACAAGGTTTTACTACCAGAATATGGAGGAACAAAAATAAATTTGGATGAAAAGGTAGGTGATGTTGATGATAGCCTGTAATCTTCCTGTTTTGTGTGTTTTGACTGAAATAAGGCATTACCATATTATCAAATGATATAAACAGACCCACATGCATAATCCCACAGAAAACCATAGAGAAAGGTTGGGTGTGTATTGCTGGACAAGTTGATGCAAGTCACTCAAAAAAAAAAAAGCCATCTGACCCTCAGCACCTGCACATCTCTTTGCATATTCTGAGAACAAGAATCGACATTATGGATTTCAAGTTGGACCAAGCAAATGAGAAAATGATCAAGTTGCATTTCTCTATGAATTTATGAGTTCCTTTTTCTTACTCAAAGAAATGAAGGTTATTAAAGTTTTGGCAAGTACTTCCTAATTAGGTTGAAAAAATAAAAAATGTTCAAAATTTTGATCTCTCAGTGGCCATAGGATAAAATGCTTATTAACTGCATTTCGTTGAGCCAGATGAGAAAATAGCTGGCTTTGGGCCATGATGCATGAACCTTTGGCCCTCCCAGCCACTCAGTCAATAAGTACATAAAACAAAGTTGCACTAAATGCTGGACATATTCTCTTAGTGATGACTAACAGGAATGTTCTCTTCTTAACAGGAATACTTCATCTACCGTGACACTGACATCTTGGGGATTTTTGAGTAATGCCAGCTGCTATTTGATTATGTAGTAGTGGTGCTGCTAGAGAAGAAAAGAATCACATTCTTGGAAATTACTGTTACTTTAGCTGTGAAATAACTAAAACTGTTAATCATTGTGAAGTACAGTGTTCTCTTGTTAAACAACTTGTCTGAACCTCTTTTCTATACAAGGGAAAGCCTTGCCACAATTTCAGTATTGAAAACAAAATTTCAAGACAGTCTAGCTAGGTAGTCTTTTTATAATTATTTAATATTTGTAATAAGCATACTGCTCACTAATTTTAAGTACGCTTTTTTTTGCTTTTTTGAGCTGGTTGAAAGCCAGTTGTTTAACAGTGCAAGAGTTTGACCTCAATAAAGTTTTGGTGTTGTTTTCATGATCATCTTTTTTTATTGTGTGTTATTTCTTGGTTGTTGTGAAGGATGCAAAGACTTTGAAAGATTGAACTGCCCTTTTTTTTAAGTTTACACAAATGCTGGGAAACATAAATTGATCAAGTGTTGAAAGTGATTGGTAATGGCACTTAATTTTGTTATGCTGCATCCTGCAATTTTTTTAAAAGTTTTTTCAACTTTACACTTAACAATACCATTATAAGTGAGACAGAAGATAAACTAAAGCACTATTGTGAGGAGCTAGTTTTTATTTGGGAAATTCTGTGTAACTTGTACAAAATTATTATCGTATCAAGAACTTTGGACATAATTGTGAGAAGAATATGCTATTATCAAGGTATGGGTACAATATGATTTCCCTTTATCCTTCAATCCATGTGTTATCACTACCTACACTTCACTCTTAAATACCTGAGTTTATTCTGTTTTGTTAATAAAAAGTGCAGTCAAAGTGTCAATAACACTGAATTATCCAATACAATTTTTCCTGTACTATACTTATTAATTACTTGTTATATCCAGTTGAAGCACACAAAAGAAAGTTTAGAGAAGAGAAAATGAAAATTTGAAAAAAAAAAAGTTTCTAAAAACAACACTGGGTGTTTTATCGTTGCAGTTCCGTTTCCTTTAAGCAGACCAGCAGCAAAGATCCATATTTTGTTTTGAAAGTATTCGGGAGTGCCTATGAAGCACCAACAGCTGATTTAAGCAATTCCGTTGTCATGCTCTTCGGGCGTTCAATTGGGAGACCCAGGGCACGAGACCAGACTAATGATGAAAGCACACCCAGGGCACGCGATACACCAAACAAAACAGTGTAGTAATTCATTTCTGTCAAACCATAGTGCTGTAATCAAAACAAAAGATGACTAAGTAAATGCATGAAATTGCAGGTCTCAGCTCAAAATCCAGGTCATTCTGTTTTCATTTCCTGATATCTTCATTGTTTGAAGTTCAAAACTGTCAAAATCTTGATCTAGAACATGGCAAAAAAAATCATCCTGTCTGGCCCAGAAAGTGACCATGTCTTTTAAGAAACAGACCCCAAAGCATTTAAACAGTTACATGAAATTGTCAATTACACACTCATCATTATCATCGTTGTTATTAATAGTCAGAATGATAATAATTTAATAGAATGATATCATTTTTGTTGAGGGGGAAAATTATTTTCTGACCTACAAACAAGGCAAGGTCTTCCAACAATGTGGAAGGCACCTACCAAACACTGCAGATATTTGATAAAAAAATATTCGCCATTTTTCACTTTCTTCAACTTCCTAACCTATTACATTCTTGCTTCCCACCCAATCCTCTGTCAAACTTCCCTCCCAACTCCTTTACTCCAAGGTCCCTGCCCCAGATTCCTCTACCTTTCAATTACCTGAAGAAGAACTCCACTATGAGCATCAACATTAGGCCAAGGGTTCTTTGCTTTTCCTTGCTCCAGTAAAACATTTGGAACAATTTCATACAGCTGACCACAAAGTTTGAACAGGGGGTCATCTGGCAAATGCTTTAAGCTAAATTCTCTCTGGGCTGTGTAACGAGGGTCTGTCTTTCTCAAAACTGCATGTCCAAAACCAGGCACAACTTGCTGTTAAGAAAAAAAAAGGAAAAAAGAACAAGGTTGCTACATGCAATTTGTATACAGTATCAATAAGCTGCAGAATTAAACACCCATTTTGATTGTTTTTTTTACTTATGATTAAAAGGGTAAACAACCAGTGCCCATCAACCAAAAAGTAAAGTGGCAGAAATCCCTGCATGGTACTTACCCCACCAGACAGAGTGTTCCAGACATATTCCCTAACTTTCTCTGTAGATGGGTTGTCTCCTACATCTTTTAGCATGTTTGTGGTCCAGATTAAGACTTCCTGAAAAACAAAAAAGTGTAATATAATGAAATTTGTATGTAATATAATGATTATCTATTGTCAATCATCAATCAAATTCATAGGCAGAGGTGACAAAAGCACCCTTTAAAATCAGTATGACTTAATTTCCAAAGAAATTCAATTGTATATTCAACAGTTATTTATTAGTACACTACATGGTTGAAATTTTCCTTGCCAATGCATCTTGAAGTCAAAAGATTGCTTACAGTGTTCCTTTGGAGTGACAAGTTATGCATGCCCCTTAACCCTTTAATTCTTATGAGTGACCAAGACAGAATTTCTCCTCACAATATCAATACAGTATCAACCGAACAAGTGATGAGAGTGAAGAAAAATATCAATTTGGGGATACTTAGTTGATCCAATACTAAATTCTCTGAACTGACACTATAAGAATTGTGTGGAAAACAGGAGAATAACAAATGTGATCTGGGAGTGAAAGGGTTAGGAGTATTTCTTTCCACCTAAAACACATCTCATGTACTCTGAAACAAGAATTTTCTTTAGTAGATACCAGCATAAGGCTCATTTTTACAAAAATGAAAAAAAGATTCAAAGAACAAATCACAACAAATCACTCCTGAAATTTTGTAGAATCCAGGCAAGTTTGTTCTATTTTTACATGTCATTGTATAAATTTTGGCGGATACAAAGCTCATTTTTATGTCAATAAATGTTTGTCACATGGTGCTGTTTTCAACAATGGGCTATTTTCCCCATAAAAGTAGGCTGAAAAAATATGTGAACAGCCAGTGGCTGTGAGCTCATTTGAAAACACAGGTACTGACCTGATTAGCCAAGCCATGAAGAGGTCCTGCCAGACCATTCATACCAGCAGCAAGGCACAGATAGGGATCTGACAGAGCACTACCAACAAGGTGGGTGGTATGAGCACTGACATTTCCTCCTTCATGATCAGCATGCAGAACAAGGTACAGCCGCATCATCTCGTGGAACATAGGATCCTCAAAACCGAGCATGCTAGATAAGTTATCAGCCCAATCTTTGCCTGGATCCACAGGTGTGACTTTTCCATCCTTGAACACATTTCTGTATATGTATGCTGCCACTGTTGTGATCTTGGCTGTCACATCCATGGCATCATCAAAAGTGAACTGCGGAGAGAGAATCAAATCTTCAGAAATTTGGGAGTAAGGAACTTTAAAGAAATGTCAATCTTTTTGGATGGTGACAAATAAAGCCTAGATTTTAATAATAATAATAATGTTTGTTCACTTTTTTTTGCTATTCTGCTTTGCTTTCCATTACCATTTCTTGTGCTGATTTTAGATACATGAAATTCATATATTTGCA